TAATGTTCTACCGTAGATTAGAAATCGTGTAGGTACGATCATTGATGTGGTTGTACAACAGGTACAATATTATAAAATAATATAATAAAATATTAAAGGCATGTATTGTTATTTTCTATAAAAATTGTTTATGTTGCGTTTGGCGTACGATTGGTTATTATATTATACAAATATTAATAATATATTTTATGATAAATGTTTTGGAGATCGGAAAAGTTAAAGTGTTTATTTTTCTATTTCGGATGTCCTGGCGAGAGGGGTCATCAACGCTAATGAATCATGGTATGGGACCTGACAATAGTTTGTAGAAAAAAATGTGATTATCGGAATGGAAAGTTTAATAATGATTATGATAATGTACCAAGCTGTTATTTTTGACGACTAACTATAGTCGTGTTATATTGATTTTTGTACTAAAACAAATATTTATATACATTAAAAATGTACGCTAAACATACTTTAATACATGAATGAAATTTTATGTAAGTGATAGGAAATGTCATAGTTACCAAAAATATTAAAACATATATTCATGGGGTGAGAATATGAGAATGTTCTGTGAGAAACTTTTAAAAATATTTTGTTTCGGTTCTATATTTAATGTGTGAGGTTTGAATGGTTCTATGTGATATCCTAGTCTAACATATAATATGATAATACCTATTATGTTAGACTACATAGCACAGCATTAAAGTATTTAGATATATTATAGGTGTTAAGGTAAAAATTAAGTGAGCTGTATTGTAAATGAAATGTTCATAAAACTACTGCAGTATAACGCACAAATGATTACAGAACAAATCAATATTTGTCATATTATTGAACATTTTCATGCTCATCCCGAGTGTTATTACTATAAATTTATAGAATTTATTAGTTAGTACCTATTGTAATTGTGTGAAGAAGTAAAATACATATAATTTTATACTTAAAAGATATTATATTAATCATAATTTGTTACCAACAAATCACAGAAACGAATGGTAAAAAGAAATTATTTTTACTATTGAATTTTTTTCCGTTCGTTAATTTCTTGTGTGTGCATTTTACTTTTATTGGCTGTATTTTGAAAAGAAAAACTATTGATTATAGTTATAACGATGTTACCGTATGTATCCGATGCCTAATGACTTAAAGTAGATAGAGATATAATTTATTAAATGTTATATGGATAAGGAAATTAGTATATTAAGAGAAATTTAAGTTGAATATAACGTATATTTGTGTAAACTAGAATAAGCAACGAATTGTCTAGTAAAAAAAATTATAAAGCTTGAAATTGACTTTTTATTTTTCATTCCTACGTACATCATTATCCCCCGGCCATTATAATGTACATACATTATTCAGTTTTGAGAACGGGCATTGTTTATATATTAAAAAATTTTGTCTTAAAATTATTTAGTAAATTTGTTTTTAGATTCTGAGCGAAACGAGGAAGCTAGTGGTTTTACAATAGTGTTTATATTTTTTTTTTCCTGTACACTAAATATCTACCAGAAGGAATGCTTCGATTTCTACATATACTACCTTATCTTTTAGCAAATTGGATCATGATGGTACTTAAAATAGGTCATTTTTCGATTTTTTCAATAGTTATTTAATGCCACAGGAAAAACCACCGAAAAATTACAAAAAACCGCTAAAAATGGGATTTTAATCTCCATATTCATCACCAAATAGAAACGAATAAAAAATAATAATACCTATTAAAATATAAATTCAACTTACAGGATATACTAAATAATAACAATATCCAGACAAACCGTCTCCGCTCAGAACTGTTTTTCTTATACAATATTATATCATTGAATTCAAGTTTAATACAATCCTTTATACATTGACCCACTTGTAACCTACTGTACAGCAGAGCGACATCCACTTACCCACTTTTTATTTTATAGATACTTACCTATATCTACTATAGTGATATGTAAGTGTTTGGTTTTCTTAGCGTGATAATTAATACTTTTTTTTAAGTTAAAACCTCATACATAAAAACCAACTTGTAAAACACTTACAAATTGAGTAATTAACCTCAACTTAAATATATATTTTTTTTTAATTGAACAAAATTTTATATACAATCTGTAATTACAATATATTATATTACAATGATTAAATTTGATGAAGATGATTTACGGGAGGGGGAATTCACCCATTGGTGACACCCCATGGAAGTCGATTTAAGGAGAGAGTAGATTCCTACACCAGTTCCTTTTAAAGCGCCTGGGTGGACTACCTGGGATTTGTTTTTACGATAGTTGAGTGATTATAGGATTTGAGTGAGTGCTGAATGTTTTGTGAGTTTTTTTGTAGCTGATCATAACAAGATTATTTAAGGTTGGAATGCAGATGTCTTTATGAAGTGATTAATTAGTTATATACCAGGGGCACTTAATATTAATCTAAGACAAATAGACTGGAATGCCTGAATTGTTCTGGTGTTTGACGATTTGGCAGAACCCCAAAGTTGAATGTCATAGTACCACATGGGTCTTGGAAGAGCCATATAGATTGTTCTTTTGGTTTTTAATGAAAGCTGTAAGCGGAGTAATGGTCTAAGAAGGTGAAGTCTCGAATTGAGAGCTTTAGGCTTGTTTTTAAGTGGGGACCCCATGTAAGACCATTGTCCAGAATTAAACCCAGATCTTTTGTTTGTGTGGAAGATGGGATTTGTGCATCGCCGATAAAG